ATAAGTTTAAAATTGTTTTATGAAAAAATTCCTTTAAGTCATTAAATAGGTTAAATTTAGATCAATCTTGTCAATCAATTTGCTTTCATTGGAGTTTTGTTCAGTTCTGGATGAAAACTAATGTCCCTTTTAAATGGTAAAAATGCAGAACATGTTAGAATTTCTTAGCGTTGCACAAACACCTGAGCAAGTCTGAATCCCCTTTTCCTGGGTAACAGAATAGAACTTTAAAGCTCATTAAACATGAAATCTTTTCCCTTACGCTCTTTAAAGGCACAGTGTGTAGGATTTTGTCAATTCTTTTAGCCAAAATTGAGATAATCAGTAATGACAATAATAAAAAACATGTCTAATCATTGCAGACAAAGACCTTGTTTTATTATTTTTACCTTATAAAAAGCTGTTTATATCTCCATGGTCGCATGTCGCCATTACAGGCAGCCGCCATCTTGCACCGCCATCATGTCTACGAAAGCTCATGAAGGACAAACTGCAGTGGCGGTGTCAAAAACAGTTTTAGTTGTAATACTATAAACAGGGGTGGAAATTAGCACCCGCCACTGGCCAAAGGCGGGTAAAATTATRAAGTGGCGTGTAGATCTGAACAACACATCCGCCACGATGGTGGGTGTGTAATGAACTAAAAATAAATAAATAATTAAAATGCGTTCAAATCGCGCTACTGACTTTTGTCAAAACCTCAGTTTCGTTTTTGTTTTGTATTTCAGAGCCTGTAGGATGTTAAAAAACATTGAATAACATCAAACAAATCTGCTCTGCAGCTAGAAATAAGTTCTCCCCTCCTTTCCTGCGCGCTGTCATCTGTGGTCCACCTGCCCGCTCCCCGATCACCCCCCTCCCCCAGTTTATTTTTTTTTTTTACAATAAACGGAAAGGGGAAAACGGACTATAGTGAATTTAACAGGGCAGTCAATTTAATTTCATCTGTCAGCAAACAGAAAAGCTGAACTGTAGGCTGGCATCAAGAGCAAAAACCTGAAATCAGCTGATTAAAAACACTGTTTCTAAACTGCTGATGCGTGAACATTACATAAATGTTAGTTAAAAAAAGTCATATTAGTTGTTAAATATTTTAACTCAATAACCATGATCACTTTGATTGACCAATAGAAACTTAAGGAAACACTTTTTTAATCTCTARGAAACGTCTGAAGATCAGCTGACAGCTCCAACAAACAAACAAATAAATTAATAAATAATCTGCTCCTTCTTTTCCTTTAACTTTTATCTGCAGGGTATTTTTGGATGCAGAACAAAACAAAAACCCAGGCAAACTAAGTAACAAAATCAACTTTGTGACATGAACTTTTTCAAAAGTAAAAATAGAAATGATCCACTCTGAGACAATGGATCATCTAGAGGGATTTCCATCTGTTATTGAAATCTCACTTAGAACAGAAGAAAGACCCATATTCATACTAGTAGCCTGTAGAACAAAAACTACAAGTGATAAAATTCAAAGGCTTTTATTAAATGAAGGAGACAAATTTACCTCAAGTAATTTAGTTTTTTTCACCTTGAAAATTTCTCCTATATTATTAAGGTTAAAAAGCTTTTTTTCCAGCCAAGTAGCCCACCTAAAATAATTGGTATTCCACCTACATACCAGCAAAAAGCAAGTTAGTAAGAGAAGTAGATACTTCAAAAAGTCCATCATTTTAATTTTGTCAAACTTGAAAGGCTTGAATACTGTAAGACACTAATAGATTTTGAGTGCCATAGGCAATATAATTAGGCCACCAGGACCATGAATTGCCTAAATGCCACAGTGTTACAGAAACAAAAACAAAAAATAGTGGCTGGTAAAAAGTTTGAATGGCCGATACAAAACTTTTTCTACTAGACACTGTGGCTTGTGGGGAAATTTTTTAATTTCCACCCCTGACTATAATAGTAATATTTGTTGTCTGTCATTGTAGCTGGGATAATTTTACTCATTAAAGCTCATAATCTTAC